ATTTTATTTCCTTAAATATAATATGCTTAGGGGTTTTCTAATCTACATCTGATAATTCCAATACCTGACATCTCTGCAGGTTTGTTTCTGTGCTTGTGCTTATTTTTTTAATAGTTAACATTTCTGAAATTGGGGTATGTCTTACAATTGATGGTACTTAATAATTTAATTAACAGTGTATTTTTTTTCATTCTACTAGCATATAAATAGATGGTATATTTTATAATCAGTAGCATCTTAAATTTAATTATGTGGAGATTTTGAAGCCTAAGATAAAGATTTTCCTCAGAGAGTATTTCATTTACTTTTGACTCTGGCACCATCAGTCCAGGAGCATTTTAAATTCATGGCTTGAAGAGTTTTTGGGACAACTCAGATAATGTGAACTTGAGCTGCCAAATATACAGAAGTGAGCTTGTGGTTATGGCTTCCCAGAGACTTCACCTCAGACCCCTGAACTTCTCAGTGTGAAGGCAACTTTCTTTGTAGTTACCTGAGGTTAGGAGTGAGTGGCAGATTTGTCATTGTGAGGTTCCATTTGAATGTGGGAGGGTGTTCTACTGGATTAAAAATTTTTTGAGAGGCCGGGCATAGTGGCTCACACCTGGAATCCCAGCACTTTGAGAGACCAAAGTGGGTGGATCACTTGAGGTCAGGAGTTTGAGACCAGCCTGGCCAACATGGTAAAACCCCATCTCTACAAAAAGTACAAAAATTAGCAGGGCATGATGGTGCATGCCTATAATCCCAGCTTACCTGGGAGGCTGAGGCATGTGAATCACTTGACCCAGGAGGCAGAGGTTGCTAGAAACTTAGATTGAACCATTGCACTCCAGCCTGGGTGACAGAGGGAAACGCTATCTGAAAAAAATTTATTTTTTTTAAAATTTGAGACATACTAATGTATACATTTGTGGGGTATAATGTGATGGTTTGCTGCATGCTTACATTGTGGATTGACTAAATCGAGTGAATTAACATAGCCATCTCACTTATCTGTTTTGTGTGTGGCAGAAACATTTAAATTCTTCTCTTTTAGCAATTATGCCTATGGTTTATTTTTCTGAAGTTTTCCTTAAGGAGTTCTCTGCTTCAGGTCACAAAGATTTTCTCCTACCTTGTTTTCTATGTTCCAGTCTTACATCTCACATTTTAGTTTTTAATATTCTTGGAGTCCACTTCTATATGTGGTATTAAAAAGTGATCCAATTTTATTTTTCTCTATAGTGAGCCAGTTTTCCCATAACCATTTCTTTCTTTTTTTTTTTTCTTTAACATAGAGATGGGGTCTCACCATGTTGGTCAGGTTGGTCTCGAACTCCTTACCTCATGATCCTCTAACCTCGACCTTCCAAAGTGCTGGGCTTACAGGCATGAGCCACCACACCTGGCCTTTTTTTTTTTTTTTTTTTTTTAAGACAGGGTTTCACTGTTTCACTCAGGTTGGAGTGCAATGATACCGTCTCTGCTCACTGCAACCTACGCCTCCCAGGCTCAAGTGACCCTCCCACCTAAGCCTCCCGAGTAGGTGGGACCACAGGCGTGTGCCACCATGCCTGGCTAATTTTTTGCATTTTTTGTGCACATTACCCAGCCCACATTGCCCAGGCTGGTCTGGAACTCCTGAGCTCAAACAATCTGTCCGACTTGGCCTCCCAAAGTGCTGGGATTATAGGCATGAGTCACTGTGCCCGGCTCTCATCACTGTTTGCTAAACAATCATTTTCTCATTGATTTATGGAACTCCCTTTATTATAATAATTTGCCATGTATACATAAGTTTGGCTCTGAGCTCTCTATTTGTTCCATTGGTCTACTTGTTCCTGTTTTTATTTCCTACAGCTTTGTCTTAGTGTTTGTATGTTTGCTGTTTCGTACAGCAAGTCACTCCTTTGCTCTTCTTTTTAAGGTTGGTTTAGCTATTAGTAGACCTTTATTTTGTCATATTAATTTTAGAGCATTTAACAAGTTCTTGAAACATTCCAAATGAAATTTTAATTGGAATGCATTAAAATATTATTTAAGCCTGAGAAATATAATGAGAGCTTGTCTCTACAAAAACTAAAAATAAAAACATTAGCCAGGTATGGGGTCATGCACCCATAGTCCCAGCTACTTGGGAGACTGCGGCAGGAGAATTACTTGAGCCCAGGATGTCAAGGCTGTAGTGAATCATGCCACTGTACTCCAGCCTAGGAAATAGAGCAAGATCCTGTCTCTATAAACAAACAAACAAACAAATATATATATATATACACATACATATATACGTCTATATACAGACACACACATATATACATAATTTAATTTGGCTGGGCTGGTGGCTCACACCTGTAATCCTAGCACTTTGGAAGGCCAAGGCAGGTGGATCATGGGGTCAGGAGTTCATGGTGAAACCTTGGCCAACATGGTGAAACCCTGTCTCTACTCAAAATATAAAAATTAGCCAGGCCTGGTGGCGCACACTTGTAGTCCCAGCTACTCAGGCAGGTGAGGCAGGAGAATTGCTTGAACCCAGGAAGCGAAGGCTGCAGCGAGCTGAGTACACACCACAGCACTCCAGCCTGGCTGACAGACCAAGACTCTTAAAAAAAAAAATTAATTTGGGGAATAATGACATCTTTGTAATTTCAAGTTATTCCAACTTAGAACTTGGACTGTCTCTCCATTTATTCTGATCATCTTCTATGTCTTTTATTAGCATGTTTTAGTTTTCTACATGGAAGTCTTCTGTATTCTTGGTTTACTTAACACCTTGCTACTTTTATCATTTTTATTGCTATTGTGAAGAATATCTTTTATTATTTTAAATAGTATTTTTATAGTTTTTACTGTAGTAATGTTATTGATATTTGTAAGTCGTTCTGGTATTCAGAAACCTTGGTGAATTATTTTATTATGTCTGAGGAAGAATGTCTGATTATCATTTCAACTGCTTTCGTCCTTACTGGTCTACTCAAATGATCTAGTCCTTTTTGCCCAATTTTGGTATCTTATTTTTTTCTAGAAATTTATTTTATCAGCGTTTTCACATTATTAATGTGTACTTATTCAAACTGGTTTCTTCTTCCTCCTTCGCTTTCTCTCTCTCTTTTCTTTCTTTCGTTCTTTCTTTCTCTTTTTTCTGACAGCGTCTTGCTGTGTCACTCAGGCTGGAGAGTGCAGTGGCAGGATCACAGCTCACTGCAACCTCGATCTCCTGGGCTCAAGAGATCCTCCTACCTCAGCCACCAAAGTATCTGGGACCACAGGCATACACCACCACACCCAGCTAATTTTTTTGAGACTGACTCTTGCTCTGTTGCCCAGGTTGGAGTGCAGTGGCATGATCTTGGCTCACTGCAACCTCCACCTCCCGGGTTCAAGTGATCTCCTGCCTCAGCGTCCTGAGTAGTTGGGATTACAGGCATGCACCACCATGCCTGGCTGATTTCTGTATTTTTAGTAGAGATGGGGTTTTACCATGTTGGCCAGGCTGGTCTGGAACTCCCAACCCCAAGTGATCTGTCTGCCTTGGCTTTCCAAAGTGCTGGGATTACAGGTGTGAGCCACCATGCCTGGCCACCCCGGCTAATTTTTTTAAATTATTTTTTATTTTTTGTAGAAACAGGGTCTCACATGTTGCCCAGGCTGGTCTCAAACTCCTGGGCACAAGGGATCCTCCTGCCTCAGCCTCCCAAAATGCTGGATTATGGTCATGAGCCACTGCACCTGACCACTTCTACTTCTTTTTAATTTCCAAGGAGATTTACATTTACTTTCATCTTTACCCTAAAGCATTACCGGCCCAGGTTCACTCCACTTTTATTTTCAGTTTGAGGGTTCCTGGCTACACAGTGGGTTTAATTAGAATGCCAAGCCAGTATGGGTATAGACTCATGGTTGAAATTCTCAGGGAGGGGTTTGTTTGTTTGTTTTCCCCGCAAGAGTACAAATTTTCTTGTGGTGGGCAGATTTTTTCCTAGCCGCCTTTCCACTAAACATGTGGCACTTTGAGAATTCTGACTTTTTCCCAGGGCCTCAACCCAAATACACACTTCACATGGGCCTTGTCTTTTGCTCCTACTTCGTTGTTAACCTAAATCCCTTCTGATTGACGCTACAAATGATGTAGGGCATTGAAATATCAGATGATATTCCACTCACGTTTTTCACTTTTCTCCTTATTTTTGGCCTGTAACGATTTCCCTTACTCTTTTTTGAGAAGCTTAATTCAGTATTAAAAGGCTGCTGGGCTGGGAGTGGTGGCTCATGCCTGTAATTCCAGCTAGCACTTTGGGAGGCCGAGGCAGGCGGATCACCTGAGGTCAGGAGTTTGAGACCAGCCTGGCCAACGTGGCAAAACCCTGTCTCTACTATTAGTCAGGTATGGTGCCACATGCCTATAATCCCAGCTCCTTGGGAGGCTGTGGCAGGAGAATCGGTTGAACCCAGGAGGTGGAAGTTGCAGTGAGCCGAGATCACACCACTGCACTCCAGCCTAGGTGACAGAACAAGACTCTGTCTCAACAAAAAATTGTTTCATTTGAAATGGTAACAAATGCCATTACTGCCTTTAAAATGACCTGGAGCATTTTGCAAAAACCTTGGGAATTTTCCAACTATAGAATAAAATTAAAATTTTATCATTAGGCATAACCTGGCTTCCATCTACTTTGTCAGCCTGGCATCTCCCACTACTTAGCAAAAGTGCACCTGACCTTCATGACATGCTGATCTCAGTGATGTTTCCGTTTGCCTGAAATACTCTTTCTTCACCTAAAAGTCTTATGCTGATTTTTAAAACTCCAGTAGAAATGTAACTTCTTGAGTAATTCATCCCTTCCGTCTTAGGAAGTTAATCACTATCCTCTAAATATTTATGTAAGGTTATGGGTGCCAACTCTATCAATACCTGATACATGAGATGTATCAATATCTGATATCTAAAAGGTGAGATGTGCTGTCAATAAAGTCTCTAACCTAGAACATAACCTGATTTTCTTTTTGTGCTTCTATAGACTTCAAAGCACCATAGATGGAAAAAGATCCAGAAATTAACAGGTCAGAATGATTCTATCCTTTACTCTTCAGTTCCAGGTTAATGACAGACCAATTATAGGTCTGCCTTATGCCTCTAGCCTTAAATAGCAGGTGGAGGGAGGTTGGAAAGAGGATGTAAATGGAAGAAGTGTGCTTCCTCTAGTATCCCCATGTCTAAAGAGATGTATGTTAATCTGTCATAAGATTAGGAAAAAAAAAGACCTGTATGTATACAGCTGCATGGTTCCTTTCCTCATGCTTCCTCTCCTCAGCTCCTTTTGTTCAAATCCCAAGGTATTGGGAAGGAAACTTGGTGAGATTGTAAAATGGACAAAGGGTAACTACCAAGAGTTTGGTGAGGGAAGTTTCCCTATCTTTTTTCCCCCACCATAGATACTAGATAGACTCCTTTGGAGGAAAAGATATGTATCATGGCCTCTCTTTCCCCTACTCCCACTGCTTATTACTATGATTATTCCTATTCTTTCCAATGTATATAGCTTACATCTATGTATGATGAAGGCAGCATGTATGATGGAAGCAGTGTAGCTTTTTGAAAAATGTTGAGATGGGTTAAGTCTGAGATCAACCACTAACTAGCTTCATGATATTGGGCATAACTTCATCTTTATTTTTTTATTTACAAAATGAGTGGGTTGGATGAAATGATGTCGATAATCATGATGCTGACAGATCCTTCACCTCTTCCTCCAGATCCACAGAGGAAAGAAACCCTCAGGATGGCTTGCAGTGAAGCTAACCTGACGTGGTGAGTAAAGCCTGTCTTCCGCCAATTCTACTGATAAACTCTGTGAAAGTTAAAGTAAACTACCTGGTACCCTATTTTCCTTCCTTCACTATGTTAGCTTTCTCTTTTCTAAGTTAAATCTCTTACTGTTTTCCTTACTGGTATTTTTTTTATGAGACTTCAATTACATTGACATACAGTGTTGCATCCAGTGTTTCAGGACTCCCTGGGGACAGGACCCAGGAAAATACACTCTGGTCAATGATGCAGACTCTTCAACAGATCTCCCGACACCTGAAAAGCGCAAGGTCAGGCATTGTAGTTTCTGGATGAGGACTGAAGGTGGTGGAGGTTTTAAAAAGGAGGAAGGAAGGGGAGGAAGGAGGGAGGGAGAGAGTTCATTTTGTCTGTGGAGGAAGTTCTGGGTTCAAACTGGTCGAAGGGTCATTTCTGGGTGGAATGGGAACAGTTTTCTCCCTTTGTCCTGGTAGAGGAATTCTTTCTATAGGTAACTGATGTTAGCGGAAGAAACTTTTTTTCCCCCAATTCTCCTTCAGGCCAAAAATATTTTGCATTTGAAATAGCCACTTTTTTCTTTTTCCAATTTCAATGCAAACTGAAACATTTTTCTTTATTTCTTAGATCAAGGCTTAGGGAACAGGATTTGCCGGAACCACAGGATACAATTTCTTCATCTATCGCCTCTGTTCTTGTGTCTCAGAAGACTGTTTTACGCTGTTGTAACTGTAAGAAAGCAAAACATTCTACTGACCACAGCATCTCCTTGAGATCATCATGCAGTAAATCTAGTTGTTCTGAAGGAAAAACTTGGGAATGCCAGAGCCATAGTTTACCTATCTCCCACAAAAAGTCACGTGTGGTTGAGAACCAAGGCACAACCCTGTCTCCTTTTCAGCTATCAGAGCCCCAAAAATCCAAACTTTTTCAGAATTTGACAGATCTTTCACCCTTACAATCTCAGAGCCCTTTTATCAACTCTATTTCTGAGCCTCTAAATATCTGCAAACAGAAAAGGGAAAAAAAAGATGAGAGAAGGAGCAAGAGTCATTTGATATCAGATCACGAGCCAAATTCTGTTTCCAGGGAGAGACCACAACTCCCAAGGTGGGCTCCATTCAAGCTCTCTCCTTCGGTTAGAAGAAAGCTAAAAAGACATATATCTCAGAAGGCTTTCTCTTTGCAGCAACAAATGGTACCTTTACCTGTGAGGAAATCATGGGCGATGTTCAATTATTTAACTGAAGTACAAAGAGGAGTCGCTGAATCAAATAAACTCCAAACTCAGTTATCTATGCCCATTCATCAAAACACTGAGCAAAACATTAACAAAAATTCCCCAGACCTTCCATCATTTCCACTTCATGTGAATGCTGAAGTGGGATCTGGAACAAATAGCACAGAAACAAAACTTTCACAGTCACTTATCTCAGGCAAGCAGTTACAACCTGGGGATGGCCCCCAAATCCTTGGATCCAAGCCTTTCGTTACATCAGTGGGCACTCTACCTCCAAGAAGTTTAGGACTTAATGTAACTCAAGAGGAAACCGCTTTACTGAAGAAAGAGCCAAAACACATACTAGAGCTTAGTATAGAGAAGAGGGTCATAGGTGTTCCAGAAAAAAGCATAGAGCAGCACAAGACACAAGTGACTAATGTGGACGTGGCACCAAGTCTACCATATCAAGTCAAGGACAGCATAAAGGTAACTCCATTGGCATTACTTCAGGCCATAGAGTCAATGGCGATGATCCCAGAAGCACATTCAGAATCTGTGGGTTTGTTCCCACAGCTGCCAAGTCAAGTTGTGAAACCAATGGAAACTATGAAAACAATGAGCATAACCCCCAAACCACCAAATCAAGTCATCCAGTCAATGGAGGCAGCCCCAAGGCCAAAGCACCAAGTTGTGGAATCAGAGAGGATGACCACGAGATTACTGAATCAAGTCACAGATAATGAGAAAGCAACTCCTGTAGCACTGCTTCAAGTTATGGATTCTATGGGGATGATTAACAAATATCCACACACAGAATTAGTGGGAACGACTTCAACACCACAACATCAAGCCATAGAGTCAGTGAAGATGAACACAATATTGAAGCATCAAGTCACAAAACCAGAAAAGATGAATGTAAGGCCACAACGTGCAGTTATGGAAACTATGGAAATGATGCCAGCGCCACAGCATAAAGTCATGGAATCAGTTGACATGACCTCAGGATCACAAAGTCAAGTCATGGAACAAGGAAAGACTATTCCAGGGCCAATATGTCAAGGCACAAAGTCATCGGAAGTGATCTCAGCACCATTACATCAAGTGGAAAAATCTATTGGGTTGACCCAACCATCTTTAGGAACTACTCCAGGGCCACTGAGTCAAACTTCAGAATCTGTGGAGATGAGCTCAATGTCATTCCAAGACACTCTTGAGACAATGCACCAACTTGGAAAAGCAATGGGGGAAACTCCAGTATCACAACACACAACAAAAGAATCTCCAGATTTGATACCAGGATCAGAGATACAAAGTGTGAAATTAGAAGTGTTGACCACAGAGCAACAGCCCCATGATATGAAGTTTGTTCATGGCAATCTAGGGCCATGCTTAGAAATTACTGAGTTGTCAGAGACACCCCCCACCTCAGAACATAAAGACCCAGAAACTGTGGGGTTGGCATTGCCTCAAGTTGGTAAGACCCAGGGAGTTATCCCACTATCACTAGATTCAGAAACAGGAGTTCTGGAGTTGACTCCAGGACCAGATATGCAGTATGAGAAATCAGAGCCACTACTGCAAAATTTGAAATCTGCAGAGTTAACCAGTGAGTCATCTCCATTAGTGATAGGATCTAAAAAGTTAATTACAGAACCAAAACCACATGTTATGGACCTGACCCCAGGGCCACAGGTCCAGGGAGGAAAGTCTATGCAGTTGGATCTAGAGTCACAGTTGCAAGACGCAAAACATGTGAATTTAATCCAACAGTCAACTACAGGAGTGGGAAAATCAGAGGAGATGATACTGGATCTACCGCTACAAAGTATGCCATTGGAGGATTTGACTAAGAGGGCAGAGCTCCAAGATGTAAACTCTGTGGATTTAAATCTAGGCCCATGTCAGCCAAGTGTCAAATCTGGATTGACCCCAGGGCCACAGTCACAAAGTGTCAGGTTTTCAAAGGTATTTCCAGGGCCACTCCTTCAAGGAGAAAAACCTGTAGATTTAATCTCACAACCCCTACATTATGGTGCAAAATCGGATGAACGGACCTCGGATTCCCCAGTTCAGTACATCAAATCATCAGATTTCATCCCAGACCTAACACCCCAAAGTGTCAAATTTGTACAGCTGACTCCAGAAACACAACCTCAAGGTGTGAAATTTGTGGAGCTAAACCCAGGACTAGGCTTGCAAGATGTCAAATTTTCTGATTCGATCCCAGGGTCAAAGCACCAAGGTTTCAAACATGTGCAGATGACACCAGGAACTCAGCCTGAAGATATAAAGTCTCCAGGTTTTATGCCACAGTCGTCTTTGCAGTTAAGCCAAGGGCCACATGTTGAAGACATGAAATCTGTTCTGTCTGCTGAAGGATCACAGTTTCACAGGATGAAATCTGCAAAACTGACCTCAGAACTACCAGTTCAAAGTGCAAAATCTGAGGAAGTAAACCTAGGGCCTTGGCAAAATCTCAAATTTTCTGAATTGACTTTAAGGCCAAAGCTGCAAGGTGTCACATTTGGGGATCAAACTGCAGGATCAGTGGTTCACAGTGTGAATTCTGTAGAGGTGGTTCCAGAGTTAGGGCTGCAAGATTCCACATTAGCAAAGATGTCTCAAGGAACTCAAAGCATGAAACAGGAAGGGCTTAACCGAGAGCTGCAGCTACGAGATGTCAAAATTTTTGATTTAGTACCAGGAACTCAACCTCAGGGTGTGAAATCTTTAGAGTTAAACTCAGGACCACAGCTACAATGTGTACAATTTTTAGAGTTGACCCCAGGGCCAAAGATGCAAGGGGTACCACCTATGGCAATGGCTCCAGGGCCAGAGGGGCAAGGGGTTAATCCTCAGTTGTTAGTACCAGAGCCACTGTTTCAAGATGTAAAATATGTAGTAGGCAATCAAGTGCCAAGCCTTAAAGCTGACGTTTCCAGTAAATTAATCTCAGAGCCACAAATGCCAGATGCAGAATCCATGGGGTTGACTCCAGGACCACAGCTGCCCAGTGTAAATCATTCTGAGTTAACCAGAAAACCACAGTTACAAGATAGGATATCTTCTGGATTGACACAAGGACCACAGTTCCAAGACGTAAATCCTGTGGAGGAGAGCCTAGTCTTAAAACTTCAAGGTTTCAAACATGAAAAGCTAACCCCAGAGCCACAGCTAGAAGATATGAAATCTGTGGAATTAGTCCCTGGGCCACATTTGGGAGATATGAAAACTAGGCAGCTAACACCAGAGCCAGAATTGGAAGATGTCAAATCTATCATGTTAACCCCAGAGCCACAGGCAGGAGGTGTAAAACTTGAGGAGGTAACCCCAGGCTCAAAGCTCCGATCTGAGTTACTGGTCTCACAGTCACAGTTAGAAGATATGAAATCTGTGACCTTAACTCCAGGACCATGCCTGGAAGGGATGAAATCTATGGAAATAACTCCAAGTCCACAGCAGGAAGGTGGGAAATCCGTGGCAATAAGCTTAAAATCACAGAGAGGAGATGTCAGAGCTGTGGAATTCATCCCTGATTCGGAGCTTCAAGATGTAAAATCTGCGGAGTTGGTCCCAGATACACAGCTGCACGATATGAAAGCTGTGAAATTAAAATTTGGGCTAAAGATGCAAGGTGAGAGGCCTATGGCTTTTGCACCAGAGCCATTGCCTCAAGGGGTTAAATCTATGGAGATGCTTCAAAGGCCTCAGCTACAAAGCATGAAACCTGAGGAACTGACTTCAGTCCCACAAATGCAAGATATGAAATTTGTGGAGATTACTCCACGTTTAAAGCTTCAAAGTTTAAAATCTATAAAGAAGACTCAAGATCCACATCTGCAATGTGTAAAATCTGTAAAGCTTGCACCAAGGCAGAAGAGACTGGTAGTAAAATCTGTGACTGTAACCAGAAGACAAGAGTTTGAAGAAGTAAAACCTGTGGATTTAACCCTTGAGCCAGAACAGGATGGTCAGAAATCTGTAAACTCACTAGAGCAGCAATGTGTGAATTTTGAGCAAGTAAAGAGAGGGTCTGAGTCAGAAGGTATAATGTCTTTGGAGTTAATTCCAGAGTCAAAATCTGAAGGTATAAAATCTGTAGACCTCAAGTCTGACCCACAGTCAAAAGGTAGAAAAGCATCTGAGTTGACTCCAGAACCAAATATGCAAGATGTAAAAGCTGAAGAGTTCAAACATGAACCACAGTTGCAAAGTCTGAAATATCCCAAGTTGACTCCAGGACCACAGTTGCACCAAGCGAAACCTTTGGGCTCAACTGCAAAGCCACAGCTTCAAAGTGTGAAAATCATGGAGTTAAACAAAGAGCCAGAGGTTGGAAGAAGAAAATCTGTTCAGTGGATAACAAGACCTGAGTTCCAAGGTGTAAAATCCGTAGGATTAAATCTTGGGCCACAATCTCCAAGTGTCAAATCTGCAGCGTACAAACTTTCCTTACAGTTGGGAGATATGGTAGCATCTAAATTGGTTCTAGCACCAAAACTTCAAGGTGCAAAACCTATGCAGTTTAACCTTGGGGCACAGTTGAAGTGTGTAAAAGCCCCTGAGTTGTCTGCTGGACCACAATTACAAAAAGGGAAAATTTTGGCTTCAGGCTCAGAGCCACAAGTTCTAGGTGTGAAAACTGTGGAGTTAAACCAAGACTCACAGCTTGGAAGTGTGAAATCAGTGCAGTGGATACCAGGACCTGAGTTCCAAGGTGTGAAACCTACAGGGTTAAATCTTGGTTCACAATCTCAAGTTGTCAAACCTGCAGAGTTGAAATCTTCCATAGAGTCAGGAGGTGTAAAGTCATCTCAACTGCCTCTAGGGCCAAAACTTCAAAGTGCAACATCTATGGAGTTTAACCTCGGGTCACAGGTGCACTGTGTGAAAGCTGCTGAGTTGTCTCAAGGACCACAGCTGCAAAAAAGGAAAAGTCCAGCATCAAGCCCAGAGCCACAGCTTCAAGGTGTGAAAACTGTGGAGTTAAACCAAGACTCACGGCTTGGAAGTGCAAAATCTGTGCAGTGCATACCAGGTCCTGAGTCCCAAGATGGAAAAACTGGAGGGCTAAATCTTGGTTCACAATCTCGAGGTGTCAAACCTGCAGAGTTGAAATCCTCCGTAGAGTCAGGAGGTGTAAAATCATCTGAATTGATTCTAGGGCCAAAAATTCGAAGTGCAAAACCTGTGGAGTTTAACTATGGGCCACGGTTGCAATTTGTGAAAACTCCTAAGTTGTCCCAAGGACCACAGTTGCCGAAAGGGAAAATTCTGGCATCAACCTCAGAGCCACAGCTTAAGGGGGTAAAAACTGTGGAGTTAAACCAAGACTCACAGCTTGGAAGTGTGAAATCTGTGCAGTGGATACCAGTACCTGAGTTCCAAGGTATGAAATCTATGCTAAAATGTGGTTCACAATCTCAAGCTGTCACACCTGTAGAACTGAAAACTTCAATACAACTAAGAGATGTGAAGTCATCTGAATTGACTCCAAGGCCAAAGCTCCACAGTGTACCACCTTTGACATCACTCCAGAAACATCAGGTGCCAGTGTTCAAAACTATTGATTTGAAATCTGGGTTACAGTTGAGAAGTGTGAAGTCATGTGGCCCAATTTTAACATCAAAGCTCTGTGATATAAAATCTATGGCATTCAAACCTGGGCTTCATTTGCAAGATGTGAAATCTTCTGAGTTGACCCCAAGACCACAGCGGCACAAAGTGAAACATTTGCAGGCATATCCAAGAACACAGCAGCAAGATGTGAAGTCTCTAGTGTTTACACAAGAGTCACAGTTTTCAGGGGTGAAATCTAAAGTATTAAGCCAAGAGCTACAATTACAAAGTGATAAAACTGTAGGGTTCAACTTCTTACTGCACTTGAAAAGCACGAAATCATCCGAGTTGGCTCAGACAAAGCTTCCAGGTACGAAATCTGAGGAGTTTAGCTCTTGGCCACAATGGCAATGTGTCAAATCTTTTAAGTTGAACCCTAAGACGAAGTCCCAAGACATGAAATTTATAGAGTTAAACCCCAGCTCACAGTTGAAAAATATCCCACATTCTGATTTGACCATGAAGACCAAGATTCAAGATGTCAAATCTACAGACTTCAAACCTGGGCCACAGTTGCAAAGAGTGAAATCTTCTGAGTCGATATCAAAGACAAAGCTTCAAGAAGTGAAGTTAGTGGAATCCAACTCAGGCCCACAGTTGCAAGATTTGAAATCTTCTAGGTCGATCATGGGTATACTGCTTCGAGACATTAAATCTATCGTTTTCAGTTCTGGACCACATTTACAGAGTGTGAAATCATCTGAAATGATTCCAGGGGTGAAGCTTCAGGGTGTGAAACCTGTAGACTTCAAACCTAGTCCAAAGTTACAAAGTGAAAAATCTGATTTAACCCTGGGGAGAAAGTCTCCAGGTGTGAAATCTGTAGAGCTGAAATCAGGCCCACAGTTACAAGATATAAAATCTTCCAATCTGATCATGGGTATAAAGCTTCCAGATGTAAAATCTGTGAAGCTCAGTTCTGGACAACACTTTCAAGGTATAAAATCTTCTGAGGTAACCTCAGGGACAAGGCTTCAAAGTATGAAATCAATGTATTTCAATTCTGGACAACAGATACAAGGTGAAAAATCTTCTGAGTTGATTCAAGGAACAAACTATCGAGATGTAAAATCTGTAGAATACAACCATGGTCCAAAGTTACAAGGTGTGACATCTTCTCAGTTAACCCCAGAGACAAAGCTTCAAGGTGGGGAATCTGTGGAGTTCAACTCAGGCCCACAGTGGCAAGATGTGAAATATCGTAACTCAATCAAGGGGACAGAGCTTCAAGACGTAAAATCTAAGGAGTTCAGTTCTGATTCACAATTACAAGGTACGAAATCTTCTGAAGAGATCCCAGTGACAAAGCTTCAAACAGTGAAATCTGTGGGGCTCATGCCTAGGCCAGTGCAGCAAGATGTAAAATGTTTTGAATTGTCTCTAGGTACAAAGGTACAGGATAGGACTTCGTTGGGGTTAAACTCAACCTCACAGTTACAAGATAGAAAATTATTTATGTCGACACCAGGGATACAACATCAAGGTGTGAAATCTGTAGAATTCAATCCTGGGGCAAAGTTGCAAGATATGAAATCTGGGTTGATAAAGCTTCAGACAGTGAACTCTACAGAAGGCAACGATGACCCAGAATTGCAAGTTGCAGAACTCTCTAAGTTGGCCTTGGAATCAAAGATTCACAGTGTGGCACCTTCTGAGTTCAATACTGAAAAGCAGCAGCAAGATGAGAAATCTCATATATTGAATCTGTGGCCAGACCTTCAAAGTGTTAAATCTATGGGATTCGATCCTGAGCCACATTTGCAATATAGGAAACCTTCAGAATTATGTACAGGGACAAAGCTTCAAGATGTAAAATCTATGAAATTCAATCTTCAGGAAAAGTTGCAAGGTGTGAAATCTGAGTTGCACTTTGGAACAAGGCTTCAAGGTATACAATCTTTAGATTTCAACCCTGGGCCACAGTTGCAAGGAATAAAATCTGCCAAGTTTAATCCTGGGCCTGAGCTTCAAGGTATGAAATCTAAGGTGTTCTGCCTTGGACCACATTTGCAAGATGTGAATTCTTCCGCATCCATTCCAGAGCCACCACCTCAGTGTGCAAATTCTATTGTGTGCAACCGTGGGCCATGTTTTCAAGGTGTAAATTCTTCTGCATCTATTCCAGGCCCTAAACTTCAGTGTGTAAGTTCTAATGGGTTCAACTCTGGGTCAAACTTGCAAGGTATTAATTATTCTGTATCCATTCAAGAACCACCACTTCAGGGTATAAATTCTATTGAGTATAATTCTAGGCCAGATCCACAAAGTGTGAATTCTTCTACATCCATTCTAGGGCCCAAACTTCAGAGTGTTAATCCTAATGGGTGCAACCCTGGGTCATATTTGCAAGGTGTGAATTCTTCTGCACTCACTCCAGAGCCACCACTTCCGTGTGTAAATTTTAATGGGTGCAATCCTGGGCTGCACTTGCAAGGTGTAAATTCCTCTGCACCCATTCCAGGGCCAAAACTTCAGAGTGAAAATTCTATTGGGTGCAGCCCAGGGCCACATTTGCAAGGTGTGAATTCTGCATTAATGCCACAGCCACAAGCTCTGTGTGTAAATTCTATTGGGTGCAACACAGAGCCATATTTACAAGGTATGAAATCTCCTGAATTAACTTCGGTTTCAAAACTTCAAGGTATGAAGTGTTCTGAATTGAACCCAGGGACAAAAATTCAAAGCAAGACATCTTTAATGGTCAACCTTAGACCATGTTTGCAAGATTTAGAATCTGATTTGACACCAGGGTCAAAGTTTCTACGTGTAGCACCTTTGGAATGCAACCCTGGGCCACAGGTGCAGTGTGCAAGTTCTTCTGAGTTGAATCCAGGGCTAAAGTTACGATGCGTAAATTCTATGGAGTGCAAACTTGAGCCACACTTGCAAGGTGTAAAATCAGGGTCAAAATTTCAAGTTATGAAATCTGAGTTGGATCCAGGGCCAGAGCTTCACAGTATAAAATCTGTTATGTTCAGCTCTGCGCAACATTTACAAGATGTAAAATGTGAACTGACTTCAGGGACAAAATTTCAAGATATAACACCAAAGGAGTTCCACTCTGGCCCACAGCTGCAAGGTATGAATTCTTCTGGGTTGAATTCAGAGTCAGAATTTCAATGCATAAATTCTATCAACTTGAATCCAGGGCCACAGATACGAGACATGAAGCCCTCTGAATTGAACCCTGGGTCAGAATCTCAAGGTATGAAATCTATTCTGTTCAATCCCAGACCACACTTGCAAGGTGTGAAATCTTCTGAGTTAAGTCCAGGGACTAAGTTTCAAGGAGTCCAATTTTGGGGGAAGCACCTTGGCTCACAGCAAGCTGTGCAACCTGCATTCAATTTGAGTCCTCAGATAAATGGTACAAAATCTGAGGTATTTTTACCAGAGCCACTGCTTAAAGTTGTAAAATCTGTGGACATAAATAAGCAGCCATTGCTTTATGATGCAAATTCTGCAAAAATGATTTCAGCCTCTGAGCTACCGGACTTAAAATATGAGGTATTTACGCTAGAGCCATGTTTTCAAAAAGCAAAATCTGTGGAGTTAAAACCAGAACCATATCCTCAAGGTGTGAAATCCGTGGAGTTAAAACCAGAACCATATCCTCAAGGTGTGAAATCTGTGGAGTTAAAACCAGAACCATATCCTCAAGGTGTGAAATCCGTGGAGTTAAAACCAGAACCATATCCTCAAGGTGTGAAATCCGTGGAGTTAAAACCAGAACCATATCCTCAAGGTGTGAAATCTGTGGAGTTAAAACCAGAACCATATCCTCAAGGTGTGAAATCCGTGGAGTTAAAACCAGAACCATATCCTCAAGATGTGAAATCCGTGGAGTTAAAACCAGAACCATATCCTCAAGGTGTGAATTCTGAGGAGGTGCATTCACACCTCAGGCAGCATAATGTAAGATCTATGCTATTTGTATCAGAGCCACTTTCTCGAGATGTGAAATCTGTGAAGCCAACTCTATGGCCACAACCTCAAAGTGTAAATTCTTTGACATCATGCTTTAGGTCACAATGCATTAAATCTGTGGCCTTTGCACCGAAGCTATGTTTTCAAGATGTAAAACCTATGGAGCTGACGCCAGGGGCCCAACAGCAAGGTATAAATTATCAGGAGTTGACTTCAGGATGGCAAGATGTGAAATCAATGGTGTTGGCACCAGAGCCAACTAGGAAGTTCTCATCAGGACCAATGTTGGCTAGTGTCAGATTTTCAAATTTGTCTCCAGAATCACAGCATCAAGCCATGAAATCTTTGGAGTTTACTCTAGAGTCAAAGTTGCAAAGTGTAAAACATGTGAAATTGTCTTCGGTGTCTCTGCAGCAAGAAAAAGTTGTTCAGCCTGAGAAAGCGACCCCTGGACCACCATTTCAAGTTGTAAAGTCTAGGACAACGCCAAGGCCCACCCCTCAAGTGGTAGAATATATTGAGTTGACTCCAAAACTGCAAGATGTGCAACCTTGCACACAAAGGAAGGCTAAAATTCATACTCAAGCTTTCAGGAGTTCTACTTCCACAGCAGATTTGCAGTCTGGGTCCTCCCAGTCCCCTGCTCCTGTACTAATCGACATCAGAGGAAGACAACACAGCAGCCCTGACCTGGAAGAAAAGACAATAATTAGAGCATGTAGACACTATGAATCCATTCAGGTTCACACCCTATCGGAGAGTGACTCTGAAATCACTCAGAATGAGAAACGGGCTAAAGTGAGAACCAAAAAGACCTCTGGTTCAAAATATCCAATGAAGAGAATGACCAAGGGCCTTAGAAAACACAGAAAGTTCTACACAAGCAGTAGAACCACAAAAGAGAGACCCTCTAGGGAATTACAAGCCCATTTAAGAAGGAAGACGATTGGAGCAGCTCAGACAAGTACTGCCTTCTTAAAAAGACAACCTAAGAAACCTTCCCAACCCAAGTTCATGCAACTGCTTTTTCAGGGCCTACAGCGGGCATTCCAAACAGCATACAGAGTTATAGCTTTTGCTGGGCAGAAGCCTGTGGACAGGACAATCCCAGACAATGTGTGGGCAAGCAAAAACTATTATCTGAAACAAAATGGCAGGGACTATTGCATACCCAGAAATCACAAAAGAGACAGGAGGTCAGCTGACAAGCCAAAGTCAGCAGGCTCAACCATTAAGCAGGAGGACATATTGGGGGAAGGAAGAGACCAGTGCAGATCAGCTCAACAGCCAAGAAGAGCTCACCGTTTCCAACCCAGACCTCTTCAACTTCCCAAGCCCACAGGTTCCCAAAGTGACATCACTTTCCAAGCTGCCTCAGTGGAGCAGCCTTTGGGAACTGTCCAAAAGGACAGGAGTAGCAGATCAAAGAAAAATGAAATCTTTAGCCAGGAGTCTAAGAACTTGCCCACACCAGGAACCAGAGTTCAGGCCCAAGGAAGAATGCTACATTGTTCCCCTGTGAAGAGAACCTGGCACCGTCCCCTTAAAGAGAAACTCACACACGAGGAGCAAAACCACCCCAGCTTCTATAGGGACAGAACCCCACACAGTCCTGAGAGAACCGGTCATAACCGCTGTTGGAGAAACCATCGTAGTCCCTCCAAGAGGAGCCACTGCGGTCCCTCGGAGAGGAGCCGTCACAGTCCTTCAGATAGAAGATTTCGCAGTCCATCTCAAAGAAATCAACACAGTCCCATGGAGAGAAGTCTTCACCGTGCTGCCCTTTCCAGCCTTTTTTCCTGTTCAGCCATTGCCTCCCGTTTCTGCACCCCCAGCATGGAAAGGCTTCCATGTCTCTCTACAGGGGGTGGCATGTGAGATTCATTCTCTAATAAAGTGGCAATAACTGATCTCCCTGTGCATCTAGACTGAGGCCACTGGGTGGGTGGGTAGGGAAGGCAGGGTGGTGGGACACGAGGAGTTGTGCAAAGGCTCGGAATGAGAGCAGGGTTTTAAGGCCGGGCAGAGGCTCCAAGCTCCGCCCCTTCATTTCAGACCCCATCCACAGGTTCCCAGGTTCTTTGTCACAATCCCCAGTGAGGCCGAGTCTCAGGAATCAAAGGGTTACTCATCACGTGACTTGCTCCAGCTGCAGCCCCCTCGGAAGCTGCCAGGCAGAAGTGGACTTTCAGAAGAGGGCTAGGTGGGGGCCGAGCCCACATCTGGGATAGGCGAGGAGAGCGGAAGTGGCGTTGGTCTGGCCAGAGTCCTTTGGTGAAATTGTTAGGCGTGGAGAGGGAGCAATGTCTTCCAGACTAGGTGCTGTACCCCTGAGTTTCTTGGTTTGACCGTCATGCTTTAGAGGTAGCGCTGTTGAGCCCAGAACACGCGGTCTCTCGCTTTTGTCCCATGCGCAGAGTTGGTTTTATCAGAGGCTATCGTAGGCCCCACCCTTCTAGATCAGATCACCTGTCCCCTTTTTCTTTACCCACGTTCTGCTGCCTGTTCCCCACCTCCTTGGATTTAATTCCTCGCCACATTGCCATTAGTTTCTATTTCTTTACATCCCCAGTGTCTCTCATATTCGTTGTCTTTTCTTTTGGCCTCTTTTTTAGAGCCTCGGACAGGGCTTTGAGAATGGGGAGGACAAAGGCTCTCGTATTGTTACCCGCCTTTGCACTACTGGAAGATAGGACAGCGCAGTTTTCCTAAAAAGTGTTGCCTTCTTCAGTTTGAGGTGGTTTCCCCGGGAGAGTTTCATTTCTTCTGGGCATAGGGGAATTCGTCTTTTTGTGGTCGAGGTTCAGAGGTCCCTGGCACTCACTCATCTGCTTGTGATTTGCTAGACTTCGGGACCCACAACCTTTAAACAGCAGAGGAGCACGAGGAGCTAAAAAGTACGTGAGGTTTTCTCAGGTCCTTTTATGATTGTGTCGCCAGAGCTGTCCAGTAGAACTTCTTCCTGTGATGAAAATGTTCTGTATCTGCATTGTCCAGTAACATAGCCAGTAGCCCTGTGTGGATTTTGAGCCATTGAAATGTGGCTAGTGCAACTGAGGGACTGAATTTTAAATTTTATTTGCTAAGTAAGAGGTTTTTCTAAGGTTCTTTCATGATTGTGTGGTCAGTGCTGCCCAGTAGAACTTGTGACAAAAATGTTCTGTATCTGCACTGTTTAGTATTGTAGCCACTAGCCCCTTATGGCTTTTGAGCTCTAGAAGTGTGGCTAGTGTGACTGAGGGATTGAATTTTAAATTTTATTGTATTTTAACTAAATAGCCACCTGTAACTAGTGACTACTGGATTAAACAGTGTACGTATAAGCCTAGTGTGTGGGAGAGAAACCTAGCTTGCAAAAAAAGAGTACAAATTATAATAAAAATGGAACCAATGACTTAGTGGTAATCCTGTATTTCTCCAGACATCACATTCGTGCACATAAATACATTGATTTACTTGGGATGGATGATAAAAATGGCTGGAAGAAATTCTTGTATTTTTAAACTACTTGGCTGTAAGACTGGTTTATTATTTAGAACACTGAAGGTACTTAGTGTAGGTTTATTCTTACAAGGTTTATTGCCAAGTTTAAAATGAGGAAACTGAGGCCAGCATAAGAAAATTAAATACCAATTTATTTAACTCCCAGGCAAGGTTCCATGGTCCCAGGGAAAGGGGCCAGGGAAGTTGCGCCTGACTTCTCTCAGGTGTGGGGTTTTATAGGGAGGGAAGGCATTCTGATTGGCTGTGGAGAAACAAGACATGGATGGGGCAAGCAGTTATTAGTAGGTAGGCGGGATTTCCGGTGAGCGGGCTGGATGGGGCAAAATGCTATTGGGCAGGTTTCGGCAGGGCTTCTTTTAAATTTTGGTGGGGTTTTCCAATGGCTGGCTAGGTGCTGAGTGCAGAGTTTAGTGTTGAGTGCAGACTCTGGTGTGGAGTGCAGAGATGGGCATTGGTGCCAAGTGCAGAGTCTGGTGTGGAGTGCAGAGGTGGGCATGTGTTGAGTGCAGATTCTGGTGACGTAATTTTCAGGCATGGAGAGGGATGGGCATGCCCGAGCTCCGGGTAAGGCAACCGGCCTTACATTCCAACCCTTTTGATGATACAGGACGCCGCTTCTTTCTGGCTACCTCCTGCTGAATAGGGGCAGAGTGGGGGAAAGGGGTCAGTTGGCTGGTGCCTCAGTTGCGAGTTGGACACAGAGGTGAAGTAGCATCTGGTTTATGGCCACCCTGGAAATTTCCATTATGCAGGCCTGTAAAAATCTGAGGAAAAATGGGGCTAGCATTAGTAGAAGACACACAACAATAACGGGGGTGATAATGGGAGCTAGCCAGGTAAGCATGGGGGATTGCCGCCAGTTGAGAGACGAGGCTGGTGCACTCTGCTTCCTGCGGAGGTTCTCTTGGAGATGATAGAGAGTGTTGACATTTTCTTCCACAAGGCCTATTTCATTGATGTAATAGCAGCACTGTGTCCTAGAGAAACAGACAGGTACCTCATTTTTCTGCCATTAGTAGGTCCAGGGCCTGTCGGTTCTGGAGAGTTACCTGAGCCAGTGATGTGATTTGTAGCTGGAGGGAGGCTAAAGAGGCGGTTGACGCTTCAGTAGCCGCACGGAGCTTGTCTTCCAGTTGAGCGGCTGAAGTGATGCAAACTTTGGGGTTTGCAATTACATCTGTAAAAATGAAGCAGCCCCAGTTGACGACCCAGGTGCAGTGCTTTGGGTGGGGGTTTCTGGACGTAGATTGTATACCTGCCTTAACTTTATTGTTTCCGAACCAAATGATTCCGAGTCTACTTTGCAGTCCAGGCTGGACATTGACTCCCTGACACATAGCTAAGCTTTACTTTGAGTCTACCAAATTCTGCTTTATTTAAACTGCATCTTGGCTCTACTAAAGGTTTACAATCTTCTAGTATGTGTTATTAAGTAGACGTACATATTACATATTCATAGAGTTCCATTTGGAGCATCTATAAACTTCTTTTTAACAATTAAAAAATGGTATTTGTGAAGTTAGTGACAGTTAAGCAAATCAAATGGTTTCTTTGTCTCTATGTGAAACTTGTCTGGGATTAGAGTTTTTTCAGTTCTAGTAACCCCCAAACAGTTATTTGGGTGGTAAAGCTTATTGCCCAGAAAGCTGATTTTTTTTTTTTTTTTTTTTTTTTTTTTGAGACTGAGTCTCACTCTGTCACCCAGGCTGGAGTGCAGTGGTGCAATCTTGGCTCACTGCAACCTCTGCCTCCCAGATTCAAGTTATTCTCCTGCTTCAGCCTCCCCAGTAGCTGGGATTACAAGTGCCTGTCACATGCCCAGCTAATTTTTGTATTTTTAGAAGAGATGGGGTTACACCATGTTGGCCAGCCTGGTCTCGAATTCCTGACCTCAAGTGATCCACCGGCCTCAGCCTCCCAAAGTGCTGGGATTACAGGCATGAAGCACTGCACCCAGTCTGATTTTTTAAAAGTCAAATAAAAACATTATGTCAATGTTCCATTATCAAAAAATAGGATATTTGATCTCTTCAGTAGATCTTGTTGATTAGTTACTATAACTTTATTTCCATACATTATACAGCAATTATTTTTTAGAATATTCTTAGGATCTATGAGTTAATTCACTTTTCAGAACTAACTACTTAGCAATATTATCCTGCTTCATGCTTGGTGGCGAATTCTCCAGTGTTATATTCAGCTCCAAGAATGATATTTGAACATGTTCACACCTATCGGGTCTTGGACCCAATAGCAAGGTAGGTGTGAATGGCGTTCAAGTATCAGCCTCCCTTTCCTGAATGACCACTTCACATCTTTGAGTTTCAATGCTGTCTTGTTTCTCCTAAGGTATACACTATTCATGCACATTAATCCTAACTAAGAAGATGAAGGTACCATAAAATTCCTTTTTTTTTAGATCTAAATTTTGGAGATTATATTCTCTATGATGGACACTTTGGTTATTTTAAATCTCTCGCTATTGAAAGCACGCTGCAATGAACGCTTTCCTTGCACCCTCCTGAGATTAAAAGATCATCTATTCACTTAGTATTAATGGGGTAAAACACAGGCATGCCTCCCTAACATATGTAGCCTTAAGTCACACTTGCTGTAGTGGCTGCATCTCAGTTTTGAAGTCTGGATGCCAAAGCCAGTTGTACACGTAGGAGGACTGGACTGGCAGTGGCCTGTGTTGTGTGCTTTGAGAGATGCCAGGCATATCCCCACCCCCAAGCTTACCATAGTGCCTACAATTTCAACAACAAAGATTCATTCCTTTGGGTTTGTACTTTGCTATCTCAGGGAAATTCTTTAAACAAATCACTCCTCCCTAATTATGGTTATTGTAGAAAATTGAGAATGTGCAGAGAAGTTAATAAATGAAAATAGAAATTACCTGTAGCTCACAACTCAAAAACCACTACAGTTAACGTTTTGGTATTTTGTTCTCCTTTCCCATACATGAAATTGAAAAGTTGATTGTATTAGTTTGTTTTCACGCTGCTGACAAAGGCATACCCGAGACTGGGTAAAATACAAATGAAAGAGGTTTAATTGTACATAGAGTTCCATATGACTGGGGAAGGTCCAACAATCATGGTGGCGCAGAAATTAGTCAGATTTGCATCCGTGTCCCACTAATCCTGTAGGCTGATAATCTGGGCTCCCTCTCTCTAGTTTCCTCCCTAACCAAATCCACCTTGCACACTAGTGTAAGACTGTTCCTCTTCAAACGCTGCTTCCATTTTGTCACTACCCTCCTCTCTGTCTAGCTCAGCATTGTCCAGTAGAAATATAATACAAGGCTGGTCACAGTGGCTCACACCTGTAATACCAGCACTTTGAAAGGCCAATATAGGAGGATCACTTGAGCCCAGGAGTTCAAGACCAGCCTAGGCAACAT